GAGATATGTGATGAAATGCTAGCATAAATGTGATGATATATGATGAGATGCTAGTATATATTTATGATGAGATATGTGATGAGATGCTAGCATATATGGGATGAAATATTGATTCAACCGTACATGATGGGTGGATCCAGCTAACATGCCATTTCCTATTGGTTTAATTCACCTGGGTTACTCATTCCTGTTAAGATAATTGACATAGCATAACTGTAAGACTATCATTTTGATTATGGTCTTGATTTATAGTTACACCTGTTATTTTCTGGGAAATTAAGCAGGTATTGCGGCGAGGGACTACTATCTTTGGTAGTTGGAATTGGTTTGAAGAGTTTTGTTTCACTCACTCACATTTTCTGTTTTTGTACCCCTCCAGGTTCTTCTAGCAGCAGAGTTCCGTATCGACAAGGATTCGCGGCACCTGCCAGTGTAGGTGCCTTCTTATGATGGTATAATCATTATCTTACCTTACTGTACTTTACTTATGCTCATGTGTGAAATGGGTCTAGACCCGCTCACCGCGTACTGGTGTACTTAGGCACTTTTAGATTTTAATTTATTCACATTTTATACATTATCACACTTTATGGCTTCGTCACCTTCCAAGTGTCGGCCAGCACGGCTCGATTTGGGATCTAGTGGACATTCCAAGTGGGGTGTGTCACATTTTGCACTCCAAACTTTATGTATTTCAAAAGAAAAATACGTATGTAAGGAGTGTAAAATGAGATTTTTAAAGTGTCAATAATAAGTCTCATAAAATACACTCAATTTCTAAGGGCTTGTTTGGTATCCTATTTGAAAATTTTTATAATTTCTCAAAACATTTCTTAAGAATTTTTCTTGAAAAAAAAATTCTATAAGACTCAAAAACTTGTTTGGTATGAGATTTAAATTTTTTAAATCTTACAACTTAAACTGGACAAAAAGATCCATAAAAAGGGGGTAGAGAAAGAGGAGAGATGAGAAAAGAAAGTAAGAGATGATTGGAGGAAAGAGAAAGAAGTGAGAAGATCGGAGGAGATAGAGAGGAAGAGGAGTGAGAAAGAATCGAGAGAATGAAAAGAGCGGATTGGATGAAAGAAGAAAAAGGTAAAAAAAAAAGGGGGGGGGGAAGAGAGAAAGAAGAAAAGAGAGATAGATTTGGAGTGAGAGGGGAGAAGGGAGAGAAAAAAAATGAGTGAGTTTAAGTTTAAAAACTCTAAAAACTCACTTTTTGTGTTTTTAGATAATAGACTATTTTTGAATTAGTCTTGAGTTCAGTTTTTTAAAATAATCCTATCAAACAAGTTTTTAAGGCCTAAAACTTGAAAATTATTTTTAAGTTTAAAAAATTAGATTCAAGTAGAGTACCAAACATGCTCTAAGTGTTGTAGATCCGTCTCCTAAAATATTCAAAAGTATATTTATCCAAAAAACAGATGAGAGAATGATGTAAAGATCCCCATTTTAAACGTGCATTGCAAGTAAAAGAATAAATAATTACACTCTCCAAACAGTACTATTAAAAGTAACAAAGGATTTGATTAGATAAGGTTAAGCACCATGTATAACAACCAACTCAAGTATGTGAAATCCCTACATCTACTTGAAGAAAAACAAAATCATCTAAGCCATTGAATTCTTTTGAACCCTAAAAGGGCTTTTGTGTGTGTGTGTGCATGTGCGTGTGCGTGTTTTCTTTTACTTTTAATCAACACGGAGCACCAAAATCTTCATGGAAAGATAAGTTCGCGCTTCCTCGAATTTTTTTTTAAAGCCTTTATCCTAGCATCAAAACTTTCCATGGTCTCTTTCAACTCCGAAAGCTTTGAATCAAGATCTCTAATCTTCTCCCTCGTACAAACTTGCTCAACTTTACCTTCTAAATACCTCTTTGATTCTGCGGCCACTTCGTATTTGGAGGCAATGCTCAGACACTGCTTCAGTCTCGCGCGCAGAAATCCAACATCCATACCCAACAGCTCAAAGGCGTGTAAAGTCTTCTCCTGCATTACATAATCAGCACGAGAGGGGGGCAGCTTGCAAGCTCTAATGGCATTAGCGATGTTGGTGGTTTCAGTTATTATTTCAGCAGCCAACTTACTGTCAATACTTTTGAGGAGATTGTCATGCAAAAATGAGCCTTGTGAGCAGCATAGATCATAATAGATAGTCCTGACCTGTGCGGAGAGTTGAGTATCTATAGTCACACCATTCACAAGAATGGTGAAATTATCAATCATTCTAACATCTTCAAAATCAGCAGCTGGTCCTCGAAATGTAATATCTGCCGCTAAGTTGGAGGCAAAGTCCTCATTGTCATCCTCAGATTGGTTGGCAACAAGCTCCGGATTAGTACCTAATTTCGAACTTTTCTTTTGAATGTTGCCTTGGGAAACATCTCGTGGAGGAGTCATTAGATGTTTTTTCTCTACATAACCTTTCACCAAGTTAATATTTCTGGTGCACATGCAATCATCTAATAATTTGTGAAGGAGCAAAGTAGAGAGAGAGAGAGAGAGAGAGAGAGAGAGAGAGAGAGAGAGAAAGAGAGAGTACCAAACACTGCTTTGTTTGCGCAGGATTTCATTTTCAAGAGGCTAAAAGCTGCATCTACTTCAGCTAGACTATGTCTTCCCATTATGTACACCTGTAACATTGTGTAGAGAGCACATAAACTAATCCGCAGCATGGTAGATATCAAGAAGTTAGACCGATAAAACCACATGAAATGGCAGATACACTTCATCCTATGAAGAAATGCATAGTAAGTGGACATGAGGGTATTAAAAACCAAGATGTTCTTGTAAAATTTACGGAAAAAAAAAAAAAAAAGTATTTGCCAGGAAACAACAGTGACTACCTTGAACTTCAAAGGCCTGACCAAACGGAAAACTAAAAGGTTGCCGACAAGTAACTTGTTTGCAGTAGAAAACTTTTGCCATCCTGCACTGACTATCCTCCTTTCCCCAAGAAACGTCACTCTGTATTTTTCCCCACCTTCAACTTCGAGGGTTAATGTTGCATCATGCAATGGCAAATACAACTGGCAGAATTGCTTAGGCAGTGTCTGTCAATAGAAAAATTAAGAACACAAGCAGTTACACATTTGTCTAGGAATCCAAGTCCAGGCCTTCAAAACGTGGTGCATCAGTTAAGAACTTAAGAGTTACGACTCACCAAACAAAAGCAAGAGGAAACATTTGAACGTATCATAGACTTGACAAAGACGGGGTCAGCTCCAAGATTTGCCTGGATGTCCTGAACTTGGTTTCTCACAAAAGATATTTCATGATCCTTAAAAGAGTCGAAAATGGTTCTCTTCCGCTTACACCTAGTCAATCAATCAAAACATCTATGTTGTATACTTCAAGCACATAAGTGGCCAAGTTAATTAACGAAAACATTTCGACAAATATACCTACCCTCCATCTCCATGCTTCTGAGGATGACCAGGAACTTTCTGTCAAAATAATCATAACAACTTTCCATTTAGCTCTGTATTGATAATATGAGTCATGACATGCAGCAGAATACAAGTAAAATCACAAGGGCCGTGTCGGAAATCACAAAATCACTCTAATTCTACTGATTTGCAGAAAAAGTTCACTCAGGCAGTTTATCAAACATGTATCAAACAACAGATGGGCATGTTCTTGGCTGGCACAATTTTTGGGTTTCCCATATAATTGTTAAAAGCACCCAACTCAAAAAATCATGAGGAAATCAATGGAAAAGAAAAACGTTCTCACTCGCTTGGTGATATGGGTCGGTCGTGTAGGACGTCTCCAAGTGCTGAGCACATTTTGCTTGGTCTCCAATGTCTGCTCCATCTGCTCTACCCCTACCTGCAGTCGAACAGCCACCATTCAGCAAATACATTCACAATCTAGAGAGAGAGAGGGAGAGAGAGAGGGAGAGAGGGAGGGAACCAAAGGGGGAGGTGAATGAAGGGATTTTGGGCGGCTGCGGAGACGAAACTGGGAAACGGTCAAGCTTTCTGCTTCGCCGTGGTCTTCGTCGTCTTCTTTTTCCTCTGGAAAATACTCAGAGTCGGAGAGTTCTTCTTCTTCTTCCTTGACGTTCATGGCGAGTGTGAAGTTTTGGGGGTGTCTGCAGTCCTGCATCACCGCCATGGCCATTGGCGTTTGACAAACACTCAGCCTGAGAGCTGTGCCAACCCTCTCGTCACTAGTCAGTCACTGCGTTTTACTTCTTGTCAAACACTCACCTCTTTATTCTCTAGCCATTTCAACAAATAAAAAACGAAACAACAGCAAGGGTAAGGGCATAGGCTGCGGTTTCCTACTAAACAAAAAAAATGTGGAAGATTCTGGGTTTGATGATCCGAGCTAGTGAGTCTACTTGACTGTGGCCACAGGCAGATTGAAATTCTTCATAGCTTCTCCGAGCCCAAAACAAGTGAATAACCGTGACTTGTCACTAGTTGTCTATTAAAATTAGAAGGAGTAGAAATTAAACTCAATTCACTTCCACTAGTGACGTTATCTTGTCCAAGAAGGAACCTAATTATGGGTTGAGATTCATAATTTCACATTAATGATTTGCCAATACGGCCGCTAAGCACCATTCGGGAAATGGGAAGGTCGAAATGACAAGTTTCTATGCATAAATACTCGTAGACATTGCGAAATGATTTCGCCTGAGTACTAAATAATCAACCATGTCAATAAATAATTCCAAGATTGAAGAAGAATGAGCACCCGTGAAATTTTCTCGACGTGTTTGTCCCTTAAGAAATTGAGTCAAACCAAGATTCTCTCCTCTGTATCTAATTTTTATTAGCTTATTCAGAAAAAGTTACAGTTCATTTTCCTGCTACTAACAGCGTATAAATCTTACAGTCATGATTCATCCAATATCTACTGTCATAGTTACTCCGTTCACGGTCGTTTCGGGCCGCGCTGCAGCTGACCTACAAACTATTATCTTATGCAAACCAACTTTGCACCTATCTCCTGGTGATATGTATCATCATCTATACATTTCGAAGCTACATCACATAGACAAAATCTATATTAAACATATAAAGGTTACGTTGTTATATACATGTGATTATCCTTCGTTCGATCTGTACACTTCGTTCCAGAGGACGAACGAGTTAGAATATGCATGCATTTATTCCGGATACCACCAAAGATGCCTGAAATGGCAGACCTCACCTCCAACATTTGCCTCTATTCTGGCTAACATTGTTGCATTGACGGCTAACCCATAACAGAAGTCATAATCTTGAGCGACGAAAGCTTTTGAGACCACGAGGAGGTGAATTCCTAAGAGCAGAGGCAAATGGCTGCCCATTCAAAGACCCGCAAAATTTAATATCCCAACCCTCAACGTTCTTAGGGACACAAACATCAAACAGGACTTGGCCAAGTACACTATGTGCACTAATGCTTGGGGGACTGGGCAGAGAGACGGATCTTTCTTTTTGTTCATCTTGTAAAGACCCGGAGTCCTTACTATTTTGATTCTCAGCTGAACTTGGCAAGAAGAAGTGGTCGCTTGGCTCCACTGCAACTCTTCTAAGGCTCTGATTGGAGTTAACTGCTGCTTTCCGGAGATCACATATTAGTTCAGATATCTCATCTTGCATGCCTTCCATGCTAGTATTGTCACCTTCAAGTTCTTTAATTCTTTGAGAAAAAACCAAAGCAGCCTTTTCAAGAAAGTGAGTAACGGAAGACCTATACTGTATTGGATAATACTTATAATGATCTGAAATGAACAGAAAATTGCGTGTGTTTAGTTCTTCTGTGCCACAAGCATTAAAGCAACCAAGCGATAAAAATGTGAAAATTTCCATGTGCTAGTTAAGTATCTATGCAGTGTTTTCCAATCTAGGAACGCGAAAGGAACTCAACTAACTCTATCTGCAATTCTGAAAGTTCATTTTACCAATGGTCATGTTGGACTTAAGGTCAGTACAAGGTCTAGATTCTCAAGTACCATAGATTGGGATGAAATATACCACGGTACAAGACCGACTGAATCATGGCCTCCAGCTAAGAGAATGAAAGTCCCCAAAATCTACTAACTAAACAAAGGTTTAACCATATAATCTGAACACTTTTGCATCTATTTTTTTTACTTTCTATTTGTCCAAGATAAGATGGTGCCCACAAGGTTTCAGACAATTCCAACAAGACATTTATACTCTTCAAAGTGTTGCCTGTTGAAACACGTTGACATGCCATAACTTCACCCAACAAAACCATGTAATTTCTTACAGATATCCAATAACTATCAAGATTATGTTAAAGAATGGTGCTAAGCTATGCCTACTGGTTTCCCGATACCAAAACACATCGCTGATGAGCGATATAACTTTCGTAGGTAGTGCACAATAAGGAAATCAAAACTACAGAACAGGATAAGGATAAAAGGAAATCAATTTTTTTATACAAACCTAGGTGAGGGGAGCCATTCAATTTCACAAGCTTGACATCTCCTCCAAGTTCTTGTAAACGGTGAGTGAAATTGCAGATAATGTGATAAGGGGCCAGATCATCTTTATCAGAGCACAAAATGAGAAATGGAGCACCCAAACTCTACAGGAAAAACATTAATTAGTCCATAAACTAACAGAAACAAGCAACAGACAGCTAAAGGTGAGTAAAGGCTGAATGAAAACTTACAACAGACGAAAAAAGAGCGTGCCAATACTCAGCACATTGGGATTCAAATCTAGTAAGGTACAACGCATCCAAACCAGAAGCAATGCCTTTAGCTAACCAAGAAACCAGTTTTGACGATCCAGGCATCTTTAGAATGGTTGGGTGTAGAGCATATTGAGTGCCCAGATCACTTGTAAAATCAACAGGACCAGAATCATAGATGTGTCCAGTAATACACTTTCTGACCAATTGATATTCAGCCTTCACATAGTTAAAATAACCCATAAGAACAGAGTTCCAAAAATGAACATATGGGATCAAATGGGCATTATGAATAAAATACACCACATGTTTTAACTGAAACTACAAAGAAAAGCATACCAGATAATGCTGACCGTCACAAATTCCGTCAAGAATCTGCAGTTACATTTAAAGTTATTACACAGTACAAACATTGAAATAAAATCAGAAAAGACTGGCTAAGACTTCAATAATTCCAGAAATCAACTTATCAGTGCCAAATACAAAGTCGGGTATCTACTACTCACAAAACTTACCCGAAAAACCTTGTACATACAAGCTTTTGTACCAGCAGAAAGAGCCACAAAGACTACAGGACATGGCTTAACCCTTAGCTCCTGCATACCCAAAATATATAAATAAATAACAGGACACTCCATAGAGTAAACTTGAGCAAAATTAAAAGCTATGTATGCCAAATTCATCCAGCATTAAAAACACTTTGAAATTCGAATGGGATGGGATGGGATTTTACACCATATAACACTATGTTTGGATGAAGAAATTTAAGATTACTAAGGAATTTTAAAATGATAGAAATTTAAATGATGGAGTTTTATTCTATAGAATTTGTGAATTTTCTTGTTTGGGTAACCTAAAAGAACAATGAAATTGAATACAGAATTTGTTGTTTTAAACTCTCAATCATAGAAATTGGAAAATGACACCTATTTACATGTAATTTAAACTTGGGAATTGGAAGTCCCAAATTCCAAGTTTTTTTCCATGCGGAAATTCTAAATTTCTATGTTTATGAATCCAAACAAGGGAATTAGTGCGTGTCAATTTATAAATTCTGTCTTTAATCCAAATTCCAAATTTATTTCCCTTTTCCAAACATAGTGCAAGAGTTTGGTTCTTTCTCACCATTAGGCGAGTAATACACATACACACACAACTAACCATACAGTCATTGGCCCGGGAATCGGATCATTGCTCCATATTAAATATATGCATCAAAATCTAAAGAAGCAATGAATAAGAAATTGGCAAACTGGGAAGGAAGCTGACCTCAACAAGCTCATTGAGAATAACAAAGGCGAACGACATGGCCTTTTCGGGATAGAATCTACACAAAATTTCATCACCAGAGCAGAAAAATAAGCTCAAAATGCAGCAAAATCGAATAAAACTCCAATCTTTAAACCCATCCATGAATCATAAACCAAATATCCAAATACGAGCAAATCCATGAACGATTCAGCACAAAAAGAATTCTAAAGATACATCTCATGCATGTTACGTTCTGTTTGGGTGGTGAGAAAATGCGAGAAAAGAAAATCCACTCACGCATGGAGAAAATGGGAATGGCAAACGAGGGAATTCCAACCGAGAGACGAGTACAAATCCACGTGATTCTGCAAGTGCCTCTCGTGAATCGAAACCCAAGCGAAGATGACAACGATTCCTTTGGAATGAGAGACCTCCTCCTTCCGTCCCCAGTAGATTCCACCGCCGCCACCATCGCCACCGCAACTACCACTAGCTCCGCCACCGCTCCACATAGCTGCTGAGCTTCTTTGGGAGAATTTTGGGATTGAATCCTAGGGTTTTTGGTGTGGTGGAATTGTGAGGTAGATGGGGAAATGGTGGTTGGAGAGGTGTTGGATTGTAAGAGCCACTCGTGTTCTTGTACGAAATCCTGAATTGAATTTCTGGAGAGAGAAACGATAATGGGGGCCGTGGTGGGGCTTCTGCTGGATCATGACTCCTATGCGGTCATCGTCATTGTGGGTCCACCGGGACACCTCACACTGTACCACGCGCGTTTTAGGATAAGACTCTGCTCTTCAATTTGATTTTTCATACGAGGGTGAGGGTCGGAGTGGAGCTAGAATTTAAATTTATTAGAGTCGTGATAAAAGAGTTATTGTAACATTTTCTTAATTATTTTTTGCACTCAATGTACGATATCAGTATCTATCATGTCACTATATACCTCGACCTATACATCAAATTAGACTATCAATTTCTTACACAATATCGTGTGAACAAACATGAAAATGATTAGTTTTTTATCAACATGATAACTAATCGGATCGTTATCGGGTCACACGATAAGAATCCGTTAATAATGAGTCCTTAACAAGTTTACAAGAGGGTGACACGCAGCTAATTCGACATGTTAAGAAAAAAAAAGTTATTTTGATGATTTTAATTTTTTAAACTACTAAAAAAACCTTCTATAAAATACAATAGCTATCGTTATATGTATATAGTGTATATTTAAATATGTATTATTGTATTATTCTATATGAATTTAAAGCTTTAAGTTTTATTTATTTATTTTTATAGTATACTATAGGCAAAGAGTGAGATTAAAAAATTATAAAACACATTAAAATAAAATATCAAGTAATATAAAAATAGGGTAAATCGTCAAAATAGTCCCTGAAATTTGCATAACTCATCACTTTGGTCCCTAAGATTCCAAATCGATAAAAGTGGTCCCTAAGATTGTCCACCATCCATCATTTTGGTCATTCCATTAAAAACTCCGTTAAGTGTCCCGGAGCTCTTGGCCGGAAGTTTGGGCAATTTTCAAAGCTTGGTAACTCAATCGTTTCTTAACCAAATTCGACCCATAATATATCAAAATGAAGATGGGAAAACGTAGAATAAGATTATACCTATTTCAAAGCCCAATAGTTGCCAGAGATAGCCAGAAAATAGTCTCAAAGTTGACTGGTCCGAGTGAAAACTTGAAAATTTGCCGAAAATTTGGTAAACTTTAAACGCTCATAACTTCTTCAATACTCAATGAAATCAAGTGATTCAAAAACAAAAATCATACTTCTTGACAAGATGAAGAGAATGATACATTTTGTGATGGCTAACGCATCGTGGTTTGGCCGAAAAATGGCTCAAAAGTGGCTAACTCGAGACCAATACAGCCACTTTCGAGCCGTTTTCCAGCCAAACCACAGCGAGTTAGCCTTCAAAAAAGGTACCATTCTCTTTGTCTCATCAAGAAGTATGAGTTTTGTTTTTGAATCACTTGATTTGGTTGAGTATTGAAGAAGTTATGAACGTTTAAAATTTACCTAGTTTCCGACGAGTTTTCAAGTTTTCACTCGGACCAGTTAACTTTGAGGCTATTTTTCGGCAATCTTCGGCAACCATTGGGCTTTAAAATAGGTATAATCTTATTCTACACTTTCCTATCTTCATTTTGATATATTATGGGTCGAATTTGGTTAAGAAACGATTGAGTTACGAAGCTTTGAAAATTGCCCAAACTTCCGACCAAGAGCTCCGGGACACTTAACGGAGTTTTTAACAGAATGACCGAAATGATGGATGGTGGACAATCTCAGGGACCACTTTTATCGATTTGAATCTCAGGGACCAAAGTGATGAGTTATGCAAATCTTAGGGACCATTTTGGCGATTTACCCTTTAAAAATATCAAACACTTTAAAAAACCGTACAAGGTTCCTCAATTTTGAAATGCAACTCCTTTCATTTTGCTTATCCATGAACATTTTAGTATTTTGTAGTATTGTACTAATGTTTTTACATAATACTATTATTTTGGGGTCTATAATACTTGAAAGACAAAAATTTTTGTATGTTTTGAAGTAATATTTATGTGACAATGTGGGATGTCACAGCCCGTCCCGAAATTATATTTATCATTGATGTGAATTAACGGAATTTCCCTTAAAGGTTGCTAAGGTATGTGTGACATGTTTATTTGAATAATGCATACCTTCCTAAATTCTTGGAAAAAAAAATTAAGTTGGATTAATAATTGTGTGCATTTTGTGTGGTTAGGGACTTAGGAAGACCACACAAATCCCTATCACTCTCTCTCTCCTATCCCGTACCTCCCTCCTTCACAGAACACCCTCTCTCTCTCTCTCTTCCCTCACATACGAACCACACCCAAAGACCCTTAAATTTTCACAGATCGAAGACGTTGAAGGTACCATTGTATTCCTCGTGGTGTGGCGAGTCCAGGGATATCATTTTCAGGTAAGGAACCCTTCGATAACTCGTGAAATTCAAACCCCAATTTTGAGTATTGTTCATGGAGACGTAAATATGGTTGTTTCCGGGAATTTGAAGCTCATAGGAAGCTTAGTGAGGCTCTAAGGAAGCTCGGAGAAGAAGAATCGAAGGAATTGGACGTAAGGATCCCTAGTTTTTCTAATTCCTGAATTGGTCACTATTCATAAACTTTTAAACCCTTAAGTTTTTGTGAATTTTAGGACCATAGTGAGCTCAAGAAGGTCCTCATGATGCTCGGAGTGCATCGTTGGTAAAAATTGGTCCACGGGAAGCCCAGTTTCGAAGTTTCACAGAGGTCGCTGAAGTTTCAACCTTCCCCGACGTGATCTCGAAGGTTTTGAGGATCCAAAGAGGTATAACCTTCTTCTTTTCGTGATTTGTGACATTTTGGTGACAATTTCGTGGAAAATGGTGCAAAATCGAGCAAGAAAAGGGCATTTACAGGTTTGTCCAGTTTCCAGCGCCGGCGAGATTTTCCGATGTCTGGAGGTAGGGGATGATGCACTTGGGGGGTGCGCGAGGCCGTGGCCTCCCCAGCGCATGAGGGCGCGTGCACCATAGGAAAAATATTTTAAAAATATCACGATGTTCGTGAGGTTGTGTAGATCACGTTGGTATATTCAGATACCAAAATTGAGCATCGTATGAGAAGTTATTACGTATTGTTGGTTATGTGCTTTAAAATAACGTTTTTATAGTTGTTTCGCATATAGGTGAGACCTATTCCGAGGACGAGCGCATTCAAGGGCGTCACGGGGGTTACGACCCTTCGACATACCAGTGAGTGGGCAGTTATTTTCTGTATATACCTATATACTACTGATTTTTCCCAAAAATTGAATTTAAATGATAGTATGTTTAAAAATGCCATGCATACATATTATATGAAATATATGAACTAGTATTTGATGCATATATGTGAAATGGTGTTGTGGACACACATGTGAGTATCAGGTGGGTTAGTTATTGTTTGATGTGATTTATGTTAAGAGCTCATAACCTGCACCCCCGATGTCAGTACTTGTATTATTCACCCCGCACCACACGTTCACCTTGGATCCAAGTAGGTGCATGTCGTATAGACCATTAGAGGCGGTTCCGACTTGTAGGTGGCTTTAGATTGTTATACAACTGTTGATGAGAGAAACACTAGAGCGCATTCTTACGTCATTCTTGTCGTACAGACTACTTCAAGTAGTTTCGATTTGTGTGCAGAGTAGTGCCATACAGGTCACAGTTGGTGACTCCAGTTGGATTGGATATTTAGCTATAAAATTAGCCGTACAGGACAACTGCAGGGTCTCCGGTTGATTCCTTATTTCACCTTTTATATTGATGCATCCTTATTATGTTTTGAAGCATAGCATGACATATTTCATGAAAAGTGTTAAAGACTTGTGATTTGAGTTATTTGTTGTTTTATATGATTATATATATATATATTATTTTTCTGGGAAAGTATATAGGTTTTACAGTGAGGGGTTAGAAGTGTTATTAAATGAAATATTTTTCGAAAAGCTTTGTTTTACTGACCCACTCAATCTTGTTTTGCGCCCTTCCAGGTTCTAGTTAGTAGTGTTGGTGACTCACGAGGATTCCCACGGCGTTTTGACAGACTACTAGTATTTATGCTCTGATTATGTGTGTTTCACCCTTAAACTCAATCTAGCATGTTAGTTGGATATTATTGCTAGTAGTTGGTTTTTATTCCTTCATATTTCTTTTACCCTTTTTGCTTCCGCGTCGCACTTTTGGTTACGTCACGCCCACGTGACGGCCAGCACGCCCTGATTTTGGGTCGGGGTGTGTCATAGAATGCCTATACTAATTTAGAATTATATTCCATTTTTTGTGGTCAAATTATGTTTTTCATTTTCATTACTTAGTGGTTTAAAATATATTCCTTTAATGGGTAATGGATCGGGTCATATTACCTGATAATATTAACAGGTCGATTTCGAGACGGGTCATATTACCCATTTACTTTAGTGGGTATTACACAACACAACCCGTTTAAATATCGGGTATGTCACGAAAATGACACAAATACGAAAAACACGATACGAATGCCAAGTCTACACCAAATTATAATCATATATTGATCTTCATTGTATGACTAGACTCTTTTTACTTAAGCAGTCGGAATCCTCAATTTTATTGCTATAAAAACAAAACCAACTTTTATGAAAGATTATTGTTAACACATGATCCTTTTAGACTCATTCAAATAACATACATAGTTGTTGTCGGGCCTAGAGATATGGGCCTGAAGAGAGCCCACAAGGTGATGACAAAGATCAAGACATAGGGCTTACAAGCTAGCCCACAAAACTCTATAGACATAGCACTATCGCAACAACAATGAAGATGGTCACTATTTGACCGCTCGAGCCAGTTGACAGACTTGATAACTTTCTAGCATGGAGCTCTAAGACACGTATTTCCAAACGTCAACTCCTAGTCACTCGTTGCCCACCAACGTGAAAATGAGTCTATAAAGAGACATAAATGATATAATGCCTAGCTAGAGTTCGGCTAAATTGCTTGTCAACCAATTTTTGGCGAGCAGTGCGCTCGTTAAGAGTCAATCAATGAATGTTGTACTTTCCTAAAAGAAATGTGTTGGGCAAGGACACTAACAACG